CACTCCCTCAACACACGCACTAAACTTTCTTCCCCAACAATACCATTTGTGGTGTTATTACACTATATACAGACGTTATATATAAGTATGTATATATTATGCTCACCACAACTGTACAGCTAAGCTGATACAGTTACTTCAGGCACTAAGAGTCCTCGCTATACACAGATGGCGGCTGGCGGCTCCCTCAATCATTCAAGGTCACATGCACTAAACTTTCTCCCCCAACAATACTGTTTGCAGTGTTATTACCTTATATACACATATTATATATAAGTATCTACATGTTTTATGCACCGTAACTGTACACCTAAGCTTGTAGTGCGCCCAAAGAGCATAGTGGCCACCCTCTAAACAGCTAGACAAATCGTGCAGACGACGTCACCTCCGTCACCCATATGGCTCCTCCCAGCATAATCCTTTTGCTGTTATTACACTAATACACACATTATATATAAGTATCTACATTTGTGTTCACCATAGAGAACCACTGACCTGGTATGGTGAATGCAAACAATAACAGGTAGCCACACAGTCAGTAAACGATGCTGTCTCCCTCCATCTCTCAGCATCACTCCTCCCACAGCGCTAATTATTACAATAATCCTGCTATTATCACAACCCTGGTTATATATATATCACAGTCATGGGTCATCTGTAATATTGTCATCGCTAAATGATAACAATTATATATATATTTTTATATTTTTCGGCGAAGCTGTGGTCACAAGCTGAACAGCAATGCTGTTCGCTCATGCTGCGTGCGCCAGCCTTGGTTGCTCCAACAGTACTGTCTCTCACACCTGAGAATATTGCCCACGATTTAAAAAAAAAATGGCGTCGGTTTACAAGAGCCCTGAGGAAGCTATTGTGAACCCCGTGTAGCTACGGGCCATTTGAATCAGGCCTGGCACCCTATGGCGTATATATACGCCATGCGCACCGTGGGACATGTTACTCAGGGCGTATATATACACCATGCGCAGTTTAAGGGTTAACGCGTTTTCGGCTAATTCGCCTTCATCAGAGCAAAGTAGAATGAAGATAAGAAAACATTGCTGATCGAGCAGACTCGATCTGCTCTGATCAAACATTGTAACAACAGGCTTAATGTGAGCCCGGTATGTACGAGTTGGATCCCTATTTAAGCCTCAATATAGCACGTCAAAACAATATAGCATCCATTTAACACGTATGGCACCTGGAGATATTAATAGGAGGTGCCTCGTATGGGTTAATAGGCCTTCTGCAGTTGCCTTCTATCATATAATTCCCTTTCCTTCACTTATTCTTGGTGGTCAGGTGATCTGCCCAGGCGGATATAAACGTCTGATCAGCAATGTTTTCTTATCTTCATTCTACTTTGCTCTGATGAAGGCGAATTAGCCGAAAACGCGTTAAGCATTCTCTATTTTTCACATGTGGTTATTCTGCACATATATATATATATATATATATATATATATATATATATATATATATATATATATATATATATATATATATATATATATATATATATATATATATATATATATATATATATATATATATATATATATATTATTAAATATGACCGAAAAAGTAAGATTAATAATTCTAACACGAATTTTCTCAATCTTTCGTACATTACGCTTCACTGTTGGAGGTAAATCAAAAATCACTTCTCCAAAATTCATTTTTATTTCTAGTCTGACGCGACACGGGCGCGTTTCGTAAAACTTATTACATTTTCAAAGACTTCACAAATACACAACTGATTAGAACTTGCGTTTCCCTGATTTTATATCTACATTTGAGTGAGGTGGGAAGGGTGATGTGGCATTAACACAAGACAGAACACTAGGAGATATTAATAGGGTATTAAAAGTATCAACACAAGACAGAACAGAAACAATGGGTATTGAATAGAAGTGTTTGTAGAAAGCCTATTGTTCCATATTTCTTGATGCTTCTATATTGGAGAGGAGTCTTGAGGTGGGTAGAATATAGTTGTGCAATAATTGGCTGTTGATTGCTGGTGTTGACTTCTTGATGTGTAGTGCCTCGCAAACGTCAAGCCGCCTGCTATCGCTGTATCTATCGATGATTTCTGTGTTGTTTACTAGGATTTCTCTGGCGATGGTTTGGTTATGGGAAGAGATTATATGTTCCTTAATGGAGCCCTGTTGCTTATGCATCGTTAAACGCCTAGAAAGAGATGTTGTTGTCTTGCCTATATACTGGGTTTTTTGGAGCTTACAGTCCCCAAGTGGGCATTTGAAGGCATAGACGACGTTAGTCTCTTTTAAAGCGTTCTGTTTTGTGTCTGGAGAGTTTCTCATGAGTAGGCTGGCCGTTTTTCTGGTTTTATAGTAAATCGTCAGTTGTATCCTCTGATTTTTGTCTGTAGGGATAACGTTTCTATTAACAATATCTTTCAGGACCCTTTCCTCCGTTTTATGAGCTGTGGAAAAGAAGTTCCTGTAAAATAGTCTAATAGGGGGTATAGGTGTTGTGTTAGTTGTCTCTTTGGAGGTTGCATGGCTTTTCACTTTCCTTCTTATGATGTCTTCGATGAAACCATTGGAGAAGCCGTTATTGACTAGGACCTGCCTTACCCTACAGAGTTCTTCGTCGACTTGCTTCCATTCTGAGCTGTGGCTGAGAGCACGGTCGACGTATGCGTTAACAACACTCCTCTTGTACCTGTCAGGGCAGTCGCTGTTGGCATTTAGGCACATTCCTATGTTTGTTTCCTTTGTGTAGACTGCAGTGTGGAAACCTCCGCCCTTTTCCATGACTGTTACATCTAGAAAAGGCAGCTTCCCATCCTTTTCCGTCTCGTAAGTGAAACGCAGCACGGAACTCTGCTCAAATGCCTCCTTCAGCTCCTGCAGATGTCTGACATCAGGTACCTGTGTAAAAATGTCGTCAACATACCTGCAGTATATGGCCGGTTTCAAGTTCATGTCGACTAAGACTTTTTGCTCGATGGTACCCATGTAGAAGTTTGCAAACAGGACACCTAGGGGAGAACCCATGGCGACCCCATCTACTTGCTTATACATGTGCCCATCCGGGCTCAAGAAGGGTGCCTCTTTAGTACAAGCTTGGAGTAGTTTCCTCAGAATACTTTCTGGCATGTCAAGAGGAGTACAGGCTGGATCACGATACACTCTGTCGGCTATCATTCCGATTGTCTCGTCCACAGGTACGTTGGTAAACAGCGATTCTACGTCCAACGAGGCTCTTATCCCTGTGGCCTATGTTCCCTGCAGCAATTCAACAAATTCCTTTGGAGACTTCAGGCTGAAGGCGCAAGGGACATAAGGAGTCAGCAAGCCGTTGAGTCCTTTCGCCAGTCTGTACGTGGGTGTGGGTATCTGGCTGATGATTGCCCGAAGTGGGTTTCCAGGCTTGTGTGTCTTGACATTTCCATACGCATATCCAGGTATATATTCCCCAATAATCTTTGGCAGGTGGAGTCCAGATTTTTTGGCGTTCACAGTTTCGATCAATTTGGTGACCTTTGCTTTCAGTTCGGCGACCATTTTTATGGGAAAAATCCACAGAGAAATGTGAAAGGAAGTGAACATTTCGGACTGATTAAAGCAATTGTCAACACCAGACTGACTAGAGGAAAGAGAGGGAGGGTACAGGCCCACACCTGGGACCTAAGCAGCCATTTATAGGGAAAGAATTTACCAGAAACAGGGACAGCTTTGCTTACAATGGTCAAAAAGGATTAAGCGGTCAGAGAATAAGGATGAAAGATTAAACAAAAACTCATGAAACACGATATATGAATATAAAATTGTAATGAGACATTGTAACCTTCTCTATCAGAGTTTTTTCTTAAACTGTTGTCCAATAATATAACTTAAAAATGGATCAAGTTAGTACATTCCAGTACTAACATTAAGAACATTTGGACACTGACTGATTAGAGCAGACTCAATCAAATTCCGTTCCACGAAACAACCACAATTGGTAATGCTTTTTGCCCCATTCCAGTTAATAGTGTGATCACTTAAACTCGTGTGCAGATACAATGCACTAGACGTTTGGGCAGTTCTAATACTATAAGCATGTTATGACAACCGCAATTGTAAGGACTTTCCTGTTTGTCCAAGGTACACAAAGTCACAATCATTGCAGGGAATCGAATACACACAACCTGCTGTACCAGGGGAGTTTTTTTATTAAATTGGACTTGATCGTACTTTTAGTGAACACCAAATGGATATTAAGTTTCTTAAAAAACCGGAGACATTTTTTCAAGTCCACTCGCATAAGGTACCACCAATGAGTTACTAATTTCTGGTTTCGCTTTGGTGACGTGATTATAAAACGTACGCTTGGCTTGTCCGAACGAGCAATCCAAAAACTTCTTAGGATATTGTAAACTCTTCCCAATTTCATATATTTTAGGAATCTCTTCATCAAAAAACTCAGGGCTGCATACCCTCAAAGCTCGTAGAAACATTCCTGAAAATACTGCCTGTTTAACTTTACTATGATGATTCGAATAAAAATGAACATACGACCCCACGTTGGTAGGTTTCCTATACACATTAAATTTGGACTTTCTAGTTACTCTATGAATCATAATGTCCAAAAACGGAGAAGTACCATTTTCCTCATTCTCATAAGTGAATTTTATTGAAGGTACTAAAGAATTAATTTGAGTTGAGCTGTAGGCAAAGTAGTATTGTTGCCTGACTCAGTTGCAAGCACATTAATTTCTTGATGCATTTTGTAGTATTGAACTGTGGTAGAATTCGTTGAATCCTCCAGAAGTGTTGTAGATGGTGATTGTGATGGTGCCTTTCTACATAAGGCGTAATGATGTGTACCCTTGTTACATCTACTGCACAAGCGTAGAAGTTCTACACATTTACTAGGTTCATGCGAACCCAGTGCACTTGGTGCATCTGTGCAATTCTTGCAAGCGATTAATCCCAGAATTAAAATTAGGATAAACATTACATTTATAAGTGACATGTTTTTGTTCACAGAACAAACACTTTCTCCTGCTGAATTTGTCTTCTTGGTAGACACATCAACTACAGCCTCAGAGGTAGATACAGAATAAATACCTATGTTGCTACTCCTCTTTCCAGTGGATGGAGTATGTTTAGGCTTAAATTTACTAGACTTATTCAAAGTCGAATTAGGTTTAACAGAATTCTCAGAATTAGGCTGCTTGGACTCAGGTTTAATTTTATTATGAGTCTATTGACCGTGATTCTTAAACCCTCAAATATTTGATCGAGAGTGAGAAACTCGGTTTTGTAGTGGGAGCAGATTTCTGTTATTGACCATGATTCTTAAACCCTAAAATATTTGATCGAGAGTGAGAAACTCGGTTTTGTAGTGGGAGTAGATTTCTGCTAAAATGCTACGAGGGAGTTTCCTCTGTAAAAGCAACTTAATAGACCACTCGGAAGCTGTTACATCAACTTTAGTACCTACAACTTTCACTAGAGACTCTACCTCCAACCTAAAGCTCTGGAGGGAGTATGGTCTGTTACTTGGTACATTCAGATCTAGTAATTGATAATATAGATTAGCTATGCTTACCCCTTTGTTGCAGTAATTTAGCTTCAACAGTTTTATAGCTTCATAATAATTGTTCTCTGTGAGAGCTAAGTTATTTATGACCTTCTTAGCCTCCCCTTTGAGAAGGCTGTGTGTATGTAAGAAAAGTTAGAAAACTTATCAATAGTAGGTTTTGCATGTATATGGACTTCAAATGAAGTCCAAAATGTGTCCCAGTTTCCTTCGTCCAGTTCAGCAAAGGTAGGCAAGTCTACAGAAGGTAAACGAGCCTCAGGTAGCAATACACTGGATTGAGATACGGTAGTATTTGGATTTAATATATGTTGATCTACTATACCAAGTAGAACATTAAATTTGTCTTGAGAGTTATCTTCATATTGAGATGTTTGAGCTATGACTTGATCTATTTCATCAGGTTCAGTTTCTGCAGCATTTAGTATCTCAATATAAGACTGGATTGTAGATCTGATTTGATCAAATTTTAGATCAGCTACTCTCAGAGATATTTTGAATTTATGATAATCAATGAGAGTTGCTTTGGATAATGTTTCAGACTTATTGAGCAGTCTGGTTAGATGACCTTTGAGGCCGATGAAGGTTCTCCTTAATTTCTCAGGAGTAGCCATGGTGGCTTTATATCCAAGTTTCATAGGACTTGTATAAGTGTTGCTAAAGTAGCTTGGGAACTTGCTCATTGGCTGGCAAAAAACTTGAGGATAACATAAATTATTCTGGCTAAGTTACACTCTACCTCATTCAGAGGTTAAATTTACCTACCTAAGAACACGTAGCTAAGAAATGAGTGATACTTGAATGTCACTATTGGATTTCGTCTGGCTAGCCCTTCATTATCACCATTCGATGGGATAGTGAGCATTCAGTAGCACTCAAAATTATTTACACAAAATAGTGAATATAAAATAAATGGTTTATATATCCCACCCTAATCAGGATCAGCACAATAGTAAATAATGTAATATAATTAGGTCCCACACTGTTTAGTGTCAGTACAATAGTAACTATTACAAATATACACTACTGACTAGTTCAAGACTAGTTGAAATAATTTCTATTTAAGAAACTACTAAATTATTTAGCTTGCATTTGTGCAAAACTTAGCACATCCACAGTGTAAATTCCTACCTATTAAAGGTTGACATGAAATAAATAATAGTGCAGTAATGTGAATTTAATTGTGCTCTGTTTTTGAGTTTTTATATTTTTTGTTATATATAAATGTATATTTAAACACACAAGTGATTATGAATATATATATAGTTAAATTTGGCTTGCTAGCCACAACCTTCTATGATGGTTGATAGTGTTAACTAATTTGTTAACTACATGTGAACTAGACTCACCTGACATGTGTACACCATCTGATGCCAGGTTTTGCCTGTATGGTCTGGCTGTAAAGTGTATGTAAGTGGCATCCAATCTCACTCCTCTCCTCAGCCGAAAGATAATGTATTTAGCAGCACGTTGGTAGTATTCAGGACTTACTCCCAACGATTATCATTACTTGGTTGGCGAGGTTCCACTAATGTGAACACTACTGAACTGCTAATTAATTTAAATGAGGAAATTATTGTTTTAAAATGATTAATTACTTCAGCTGGGTGACGAGTAGGAAGGATGTCATTACCACCTAAGTAAGTTATGGTTAGATGGTGAGGCCAATCTAACTCAGGTGTCAATGTAGATTTATTGTAAAAATTGTGAGCTGTTGCTCCTGGTGACCTGAATTTTTTTACCTCGGTGTGAGGTATAGGTCTTAAGTGTTGTGGGCAACTGGCTGTGTCCCACTAGTGTTATCCCGCCAAACACACACCGAAACTACGACGTTGGTACAACGTTCGAACAAGTTTTAACACCTCTTAACCGGTTATAACAACCAATATAGCAAGGTGTAACAACGTTCTAATACGTCATAAACACGTTAAGCCAAGATGTAACAACTTTATTACAAGTTGTAACAAGCGGAAAATAGAGACAGTTACGGTTTGTGTTTCCAGGGACCTTATACATGAAATATCGACAGCATTTAATTATTAAATTAGTGTGGGTTAGGCTAACATATGGGTACACTGCTTGTAGCCATAAATAATAAAATATGTTTAACCTAAAATACTACATACCGTGGTTAGTAAATGATCATTTAATCATAGGTTAATACCAGCAAATTGATTATGATTTATCTGGTCCAAAATGACCAAAATGTTGGGGAATGGGAACTTTAACTCAAATATAACAATATTTAATTAAGAAAATCGAAATTCTCGAAGAACCACCCACTTTTGAGAAAAGAGGGAAAATAAGTAAAGGAATTATAAGGCTGACACTGAAATACTATGGATGATAAGTTATTTGGAAATTATTTTGAAGAGCATGAATGGACTGTGATAATAAATAATTGAGTGTTAAAATCCTCACACTTCAACATTGGGGGGGGGGGTATTACTTGAAATTAATATATATCTTGGATAATGACTGGTGCTGGTTCGTCACCAGTTGGTTAATTACATCATTAATGATTATAGAATCAGAAATCTAATGAAGATTCATATATGATTATAATATAGTAAGTATTCAAGCCTATGAAATATATTAGTAAATCATAGAAAGTTATGTGTGTGAAAATTGCAACACACTAAGCAATAAATGTATTAAATTTATGTAGTTTCTCTTGAAATATCATATGTATAAAAAGGCAGAATACATATATCGGAAATAATATTAGAATTAATCATAGCACCCTATTATCTACGATATAATGAAAGGAGGGTTTAGCTGTGAGAAGACTTCAATAAACCCATTTCACAATTCGAATACTCATAGACGTGACCACATCACCCAAATAGTGGCTGAAACACCGACAAGGGAAATCGCATGTAGAGGAAGAATTTCTCTGCCAACACGCTGCAATCACAGAAATTTTATAGAAAATGACTAGGCTAGAGATTTATTCCAATATTCACTGAGAAATCGTGAACAACATGAAAAGAAACTAACGTGGGTTTTGTGGTCTGTAGATGACATAAAGGTGAGCAACCTACAGTAATAATTTATAATAAAGTGCACTCTATATAAAAAATACTTAACGTAGGCCTGTTGAAACATTTACGCTCGCCGATATTACGTTTGTTAGTCCCTGACGTTTCCTGGTGTCGAAGGTCAAATTTCAGGACGTAATTGTATTCTAAGACGTGAGAATTCTACAGTATTATTAGCACTGTATGACTACGTGTACTATCTGCAATGGCTGCCGCTTGTAAATCTGCATGTGCTCGTGGCGGAGTTGTGTGGCAGAAAAAACGCCTTCCTCTCCACTCCCGCTCGGAAACGCATGCGCAGAGACACTCATAGCGATCTCAAGCTAAAACTAATTTGATTTACTAGTAAATATTTAGGGAAATAAGGAAGTGAGATTTAGACTAACGTCACGCATAAATATATTGCATCATAATACCTCTTCTCACAAGGCAATTGATTTAATTAACACTGCACAAATTAAACGAGAAGGGTCGACGTGTATATGATTTACGTCGCAGTAATATTTACTGTAATAATTAATTTGGTTAAATAGTCGAGTTCAGTGCGCATAAGGATGCAAAACTATTATTTCTTTCATAATTAACAATATTTTAGAAAGAAAGGAATATTAACTGAATTCTATAAATTTCCAACAAACGTGGAAAATTTCATGTTTTAGCCTGCTATCGACGCTCGGCGTCATAAGGGCTAGTAAATTTATGGCAAAACATGCCTTACTTATAGAAACACCAACGATATTAATTCTACATGTTAGTGTTATAAGTAAATGTTAATATTAGGGTCGAGGGAGAATAAACTGTTGGTTATTTCCAACATATGTACTTAGATTGAAGGTTACATCCTTCGTGAGGTGAACATGTATACAACGCTTGACTGCTGTAAAGGATTCTCCGTCTGCTTTGGGCTGTTTTAAATGAGGAGGTCGGTAGTCTTCTTGGTTTTATAGAATATAATCAGGTCTATGTCTTGGTTTGGAATAGTGCTTTTTACTCCTTTATGGATTATTTATTTCATTATTCTTTCTTCTTTTTTATGTTCACTGTGCATAGTTGATTTGTAATATAATTTTATTGGAGGTATTGTGGTTTCTGTTCTAGGTTCAAGATTGTACCAATGGTCAAGATGTCTTCTTATAGCAGTGTTTATTTCCGTGTTGCTATATCCATTGTTCACCAATACTTGAGTTATTCTTTCAAACTCTCTATTCACGTTGCTCCATTCGGAGCAGTGTGTAAGCGCTCGACGAATATAAGCATTGAGAACACTGGCTTTGTATCTTCGGGGGCACTCACTTTTACTGTTCAGGCACAATCCTATGATGGTAGGTTTAGTATATACGCTGGTGCTTAAAGAGGTTCCTGTTTTTGTTGTTAGTACATATAATATTGGCAGACTGTTATTTTCACTATTTTCATATGTAAATCGGAGTATTAACTCTCTATCAAGATGGCTTTTTAGATCAATTAGTTCATCTGAGTC